CCTACCCTATAGAGTAAACTACTTATAAGGGATAGACTTAGTAGAGCAAGTAGATCTATAGATAAGTAGAGCTTATTAGGCACGTGTAAGACGCACGTTGCTATAGTTTATAGAACTAGAAAGGTCTCTACTACTAGCACTATAGTGTGCACGCTATGCGTGCCACGCTTACTAGCTAGGGTATTAGCTAGTAGCAAACCTATAATAGTAGAGTACTAATTACTTATTAAGACCTTATACTAGTTATAGCAGGGAGACGCCTTTATATAGTAATAGGTTATAAGCTTAACACCTAAGGATAGTACTTAAAACTATAGAAAAGCGCACGTTTAGCGCTTAGATAAGAAGGAAGTCCTAAGATATAATAGCAGGATATATATTCTAGAGGAACTAGCTATTAGGTAAGAGATTTTGTTCTAGAACTATAACTTACGCATAGTAGGCCACTTTAGCGCACGTAGGACGCTTAAGCTAATTAAAAGGATATACTACTAGCCTACTCTATATTAAGATATTTAGGATTACGTAAGAATATATGCTATTTACTAAAGGAGCAAGGCTCTAAGGTATAGCTAATATAGAAAGCTATTACTACTACTAGTCCCTAGAGAAATCTTTAAGGAAGTTACACTAGACTTTATTACTAGCCTACTACTAGTAAAGGACTCTACTAGTTACGTGTTTAATATAATCCTTATAATAGTATATTACTTCTTAAAGATAGTACTCTATATACCTACTTTAAAAATATAGGATATAAAATAGTTTATAGAGGCTTACTTTGTATATATTATTTTAAAGTTTAGGATCTAGAAAGGTATTATATTAGATAGAGGAGTGATTTTTACCTCTTTATTCTAGATAGAAATCTGCTACTAACTATAGGTAAAGCGCAGGCTAAGCACTACCTTCTATCTACAGATAGATAGGCAAATAGAACGCTAGAACTAGACCCTAGAATAATACTTAAGAATATTTACATTAAGTTCTTAAGAAGACTAGGTAACGCTCCTTGCTATAGCGTAGTTTACCTACAATAATTTAGTATATAAGTTAATAAAAGTTACCCTATTCTAGGTAGTGTATAGTAAGTATCCCTTACTTACTAAGCTATATAAGGTTAGTAGGCTAGAGGGGGAGATACTAGACGCAATTAAAAGAGTAAAGCGTATACACAGCGCAAGAGTAATAATAAAAGAATAGCTAGAGAAAGTACGCAAATATTAGAGCTAATACTACAACAAGAAACACAAGGAAGAAACCTTCTACCTAGGAGATCTAGTACTACTTAGTACTAAGCATATTAACTTAGCTAAATAACCTAGCAGGAAGCTATCTAGCAAGTTTATTAGCCTATTTTAGATATAAGGCGCAGTTAGAACGCAGGCATACTACCTACTCCTTTTACCCTCCTATTATATTTATAATGTATTCTACGTTTCCCTACTAGAATATTAGAATCCTAGGATAGGAGAAGAGGATAACACCCTCCTACTAGACGTAACACCTAAAGGAGAAGAAGTTTAGGAGGTAGAGAAGATCCTAGGGAAGTAGAAAAGGAAAGGCTAACTACAATACCTACTCTACTAGAAAGGCTATAATAAATCCTAGGATACCTAGACTCTACCCTTAGACTTTAAGAATATAGATAATATAATTTAATAATATAAACTTAGTAAATCTCCTTACACAAGGAAAGTAAGAAAGGATTACAAGTAACGTATAGAAAACGTAGTAAAGAAGTATATCTTCTTATATAGCCTCTAGCCTAAATATAGCCTTAGGCCTATAGGTATCTATAAATATAAAAATACTAGATATAATTTATAGGAATTGCGCCCTACGCGCGACACACCTACTCCTCCCTAGCGCCCTCGCCCTTAACTGCGCCCTCCTCGCCTTTAGCATCCTCCTTATCTCTACTACTATTACTAGCTTTAGTACTAGCACCCTCCTTATTATTATTATTACTAGAGGAGCTATTAGTATTATTACTACTATTAAAAGCCTAAAACTAGTTAGTATGCGCCCTATATATACTTAACAAGCGCACTTACAAGTCTAGCTACATAGCCTATAATCTGCTTAAGGGCAGCTATAATGCAACGCTGCTCTATAAGAATTAAGCTAAGGAATTAGGGCAAAGTAGTAGGGACCTAGGTAGCTACACCTAAAGGTATGCTAGTATAGGTAGCAACGTAGTAGTAGCTTAATAGCTCTAAGTTAAACTAGCGCTAGCAATATGTAAGCTTAACGCCTATAGTAATTATATTAGCGTCTATCCTTAAAGTAGTAGTATTTATAACTATAGTGTTATAGTTAGTATAGAGGACGTATAAATAATTTAATTAACTATTTATTACCTAAGGCACCTATAGAAATTAGCTATAGCATACCTAAAGCGAACTTTTAGTACTAACCTTAGTATACCTACTATAGTTGCTAGTAGTGCAGTGCTTATAGCGATAATACTTAGGTATATTATAATCCTTTTTCTACTTAGTAATATTTTAAGCGCAGCGTAGGTAGGTTGTAGCTAGGGCTACCTAATCTACGCGCTTAGCTAGCACGTTAAACGCGTAAGGCTAGGCACTATAGAGGTGCAACTTCTTAATATATTTAGGGTTTAAGTAGTAGACTATATTAATAGGTATAGGATATATAGTTAAGATATATTATAGGTGCTTAAAGGTTAAGGTATATAGTAGTAAAGTATTTAGTTATTTATAATATATAGAGCTTTAGCCTTAACTAAGTAATAAGTAAATAGTTAACTTTCTATACTATAGTATAATAACGCGTAAGCACTATACGCCTATAATATATATAACACGTAGAAGGAACGCTTATACAGCGTATCTATAGGTTAAACTATAGATACTCTTTTCCTTCCCTAGAGGGTAAGGTTTTTATTAAGGCTATAGGTTGCTACTAGGGACTATAGCTAGAGGGGGAGATTCTATAACAACCCTATTATAAAGACACCTTATAGTGTTCTAGTTAATTAGGTGCATCCCTAGCTAGGTTTAGTGTCTTAGCGCCTAAGCTGTGCAAAACCTGCGCTTTGCATAGGGCTTAGGAAAGATAAGTATTATTCTTGTGTTAATACTATACTAATAGCTATCTCTACACTATTCTATCTAGTGTGAAGCAAATACTATTGCCTACAACTAGAATATTACAATTCCCTATTATTTTAGTTATAAAATTTTAAATAATAGTCTATATAGGGGGTAATCCTTACTTATAAAGCTCTTTAATATACTTTATAAGCTTACTTTCTTATATAGTATTAAGTATTTAACTATTTAGTAGAGTAGTAGTATATACCTACTAAATTTTCTAGTAGTATCTAGATAAGGTTAACTATAAGTAACTATACTTTTCTACTATTTCTAAGTATATAAAATCTTCTCTAAAAGTTAAGGATTTAATTGCTATAAGTGCGTTATTAATAGGTGCTATAGTTATTAAGAAATTTAGTGTTGAAAATTTGGTGATTTTGGTGTTAGTGGGCGCTCGGTGGGGGTGGGCGCTCGGTGGTGGATCACGTTATCGGCGGTCTTGGCGAACTCAATCGCACGGATATTAAAGCATTGCGGGCAACAAAACATATGCAAAAATCCTTTACCGGTATCTCTCATATATTCTTTTTTTAACACTCTCTATCTAACCTATATTGTTTGTAGAAACGTCGAAAACAACCTGCAAAAGACCAAGAACAGATTCCAACATCCTTTGGAGGTAAATAATACTGTTTTCTTGGAATACAAATTGCCAAAGTGGTTGTAAATGTGATAACGAGTTCACTTATTTGTTTGATAGTACCCTTCACCGACTTACCCTACTCTATTATACCGGACCTCTAACACACTTTTGAGTCTTGACACACCCTCCTCTAAGACATACCGCAATCTTGATTGGAATTTGATGTGATGAAAAGTATTGATTGAAGAATCTATGGAAGAAGAGCCAAGGTGGCTAGATATAGACATCCCACTAGCCCCAAATGGGTGTCTCCCAGACAACCCGGGATAGGGGAGTCGCCAATGGTGGTTGGAAGTCACCACCTCGGTATAAGGTAAGCACTATGGGTGATATAGAAACAACAGAATTAACGTTATCCTCCAGTCCGTCCTACTGTAGGGCGTGTGGCATTTCCCAGAGTGGCAGGCTCAAAACAGTACTAAAGAGAGCCTGATTTACTGGGAAAACCGTACTGTGACCTATGGATAGCAATTATACCACTTGCAAGTAGCTACCAAAGATACCATGCTAGGCACCTGAGTAGAGGGGTATTGTAAGCTCATAAAAGTATTGTACTGTACACAGTATCTTTGTCGGAGATCTATCCGGTAAGCACGAGCCAGAAGGACGTTTCCTGGATCGTAAATGGTGACTCGGTACGACGGTTTGACCGAGAAGCAGAATTGGTGTGATGTATTGCGCCGACAACGAGTGCTCGGACATGGCCTCTTCTACCAGAATGAAACCATTCAATGGTCTATATCTACCTAGGGATCGTTCCTTGAGAGTTATTCAGCCTCGATCCCTCGCACTATTTTCACATACGTTTCAATTTCTAAGGTCTTTCCCATTTCTTGGCCCGTAATCCTACAGCTATCTGCTGCATCTGAACCCGTCATCTTGTTACGCACACGATGCATATGAGCAAAGTTTTTGTAGCAGCTGTGTTGCCTTTCTTGGAATCTACATCCCTCGAACAACTTGCTCATTCCCAAACTCACTGACTGTCTACAGGGCTATTGCAGACACTCACACTGCATGTCACTGCATTAACCCTGCAGGCGGAGAGAAATGCCAAAAAAATGCCTGTGCATTATTCTCAGCAACTGGGAAATTTGTACGCGACAAAAAGAACTATGGACCTGTAGAAGCATTATGGGACGGCCCTGTATGTTGATCCCGTATCCCTTACATTCTTGAAAGTTTCGGTCTAACCCATGTTTTATTTTAGAATTGTGTCTCGAGACACACATTTACCCACAAAGACTTTGCTGGCATTGGAGGCGACGGATAGGACATGCAGTGCCAAACAACCTGCAAAACTCGTTCGATATGTGACTATTAAGTAAGCTTTGGATACATATCAGGCACCTGAGAGGCATGAAATTGTAAAACCAGCTTCCTAACTATGTATTCCAGTCAGCGTAAGCCAGGGATAAATTTACAATCGATTGTACATTTGATGCTCATCCTATGACCCTTCGTGCTTACTGCTCGTCACACGATCCGCTCACATAATTTCTCTCGGTTTTCTCCATCCCAATCATATAGTCTTCTTTCAACCAAACTTACCAGTTCCCTGGTTCCGAGGCCTCCATGTATGATGTGTCGACTGGGCTAGGGTATGATGTGCTTCACATTGTAGCAATTGTGCACGTTATCGATCATGTCCTGCCGATGGCCATTACGGGAACAGGATTTTTTTTTTAAAGTGTTCCGTCATGTAGTTGTAGAAGACCCAGAGAAATATTGATTCAGTGTGTTCTCACTCATCATACCACGCCGCACTGTCGAGGAGACAACATGTCGTAGCTTGAACGACCTCCTCATCAACGTAGACCACCATCACCGCCTGGTATTGGGACAGTCTTACTATTCAACCCCTCCCATCCACTAATCTCTCACCCCGCCGTCTCAGCTCCACCGACCATCCTCGAGCATAATCTTGACAATATATAACTCTCCTCGCATACCCCAGACAGACCAGTCAAATCCACGAGTGCCTTGTATCTCAGTGCCCTACATCCCAGCGCCATGGAAGCCCCTCATTCATTTACAGTGTCTGTCTGCAGGCCATGTAACCCGGTAGTCTAGTTATAAGACCTTGAACACGTATAAGATATGCAAGACAGTGTAGCCGGATGGTATATGTACAACACATTGAACATATCCAAAATATCCGCGACAGCTGAAATATACAACATCATTTAGATTTATCCGAGATGCGATATATGCCCTTGAAACTGCGTATACTGTGGCGTGTAATGTGTTAAATTGATGCTGGAGGTTGTTGAAAGGTTATATCTATATCTATATCTATATCTATATCTACATCACTTGCCTCTCCCCATCCCTAATACCATCCCTCATATAACCCCTTACACCACCATCCCTCTTCCGATCCATAAATCTCCCAGCAATATGCGCGCCAGATATTGCATATTTGAAGTCGAGGCTATAATTACATCATAGTAGTATGATTACATTCTAGTGAGATGGGAAGGATAAACAAGATGCAGAGGAGGTAGGGTTGGAGGGATGAGATGAGATGGAAGGGTGATTGGAATGAGGAAGGCAAGGAGAGAGAGTAGGACGGGGGAAGGCTGCCACAGGCTGGCCTGACACACCTTTTACCAATCGACAAGAGGGAGAAAATTGGCAATGTTATGAAACTGGAAATCTGCATACAAACTCAAACCGGGATTATATAAACACCTACATCACAACCCCTATTCACTCATGTCCCGCGCCCCCACCCTTGCCATCACAAATGCTCAGCAATCCACGCCCACCACGCAGCCACCCCCTCGCCCTCCTTGCCCACCACATTGCCGCCTAAGACCTCCACGCCGACCCCACTCTCACCCATCATGCCAAACTCGAAATCCCCATCGCCGCCCTCGCCAAGCCACTCCTTCTCCTCGTCCGCCTCGCCATCCTCACGCCCATCCAACACGGTGCCGGCATCCCGCAACGCCTTAGCCCTACTACGCCGCACCTCTGAAATCGCCTTTTCGAGCTGCATCTTGACCAGGCTCGGGGGCAGCGCGGTGAAGAGATCCATTTTGTTCGCCGCAACCAGGACGGGAATCTCTGCGGGTCCTTTGCTGCTCCTGGCGCCTGTGTAGCGTTTCTGCAGGGCTAAGAGCACGTCGTGGAGGTACTCTGCTGCTTCGACTAGGCCGGCTTCTTCGGCGAGGGCGGCGGCGTCGACGACGAAGATGATGGCTTTGATGGATTTGATCTTGGGTTCGGAGAGCTGGGCGGCCGCAAAGTGGCGTAGTTTGCCGTGGCCGGGGGTGTCGAGTAGGAGGAATCGGCGCGAGCGCTCGTAGGCTGGGTCGCCGGGGGAGCGGTAGTGCGATGAGGCGGGGACATGGGGGGCGGGGAGGAGTGCCGAGACGGTGAGGGGGGTGGTCGAGGTATGCGTGGCAGGGGTGGTGTTGCGCTCCGTCTATAATTGGTTGTCGTAAGCATTTGTTCTGTGCCGGCTCCCGTCCATGATATTGTCTAGTGTCTAGAGATAGAGACAAAGGGTTGGCGGTCTATCTGGAGACAGAAGAAGATAAACGTACCAACGTAGTAAAAGCAGTCTTGCCTGCGCCACTTGGACCCAGCAATAGAAACGCAGGCTGGTTCTGGACGGCTCCTACTTTACGATAGAGGAAACTATGCAGCAGCACCGGCAATATCAGCGCAACAGCCAGCGTGATTAGAATGGTGGACAGGTTGGGTGACAAGGCAGCTGTGAGCCAGCTGTCCTGGTCGTGCCACGCCATTGTCGCTTCTTTTCTTTTTCCTTTTTCTGTTTCCAGAAACTCCCTTCACTTCTCTTCTTCCTTTCTTCGTCCCCGGCTCCTCTTAGTTTACGTGAGCAGCAAATGGGGGTGAGCGTGTGGATGGTGGGGGACTGGAGTAATTTGGGGCCGCCAGCTGTGTTGCACGCGTCGGGCTGGGCGCGTCGTCTAGACTTTGTCTAAGCGATGACGAAGATCACGTGACAGCGAAACCGTCACCTAGCGAGCGAGCGTCCCGCGAGTCAAGCGGCGAACCGAACCGCGGGGCAAATGACGGGAAGCAATCGCGCGCTAGTTGGGGGCGACGGGAGCTTGAGCTTTCTTCAACCTCTGCCCTTGACCCTCTCCCAAAAGACGCAGGACACAGGACGCACGCTCGACAATACAAACACTTTCACAGCTGCTGCTCTTTCCAATCTTCGCACCGTTCTGTATGACATGCTGCAGGAACAATTGTGGCGTCCCGAGGGAGAGGCGCGTTGAGTGGCCGCCCAGTCTCACTTTGGCGCAATCCCAACGCCTGACTCGCGCGCCCCCTCGAAGAAGCAATCCCCATCACTTCCAAGACACACTCTCGTAAACAAGAAGGGCCACCTGCAATTGCTAAACTCGCACTAGCTTTTAGGGGACTGGCTATATGTAATCATACAAAATGAACAAACAACCGCCATCATTACACATCCGGACATTCCAGCCCATCTTCGTCAGTCTCCCCTTCGTGCCCATGCCGCCCATCTCCGGCTACCATCCCTGCCTGCCTCGCGCCCTAGTCCCATGTTGCCCGATCCCAAGACATTCCATGCGGAATTGGTGGGCCTCCGCAGCCATCAACCCCATTACTCATACATCCCTCCTACCCCATCGCTGATCACCGCCCCGAGATACTTGCTGGACATGCCTGCATCTCATGGTAAGCGGGGTGGGGATGGCGTCCAAGAGAAAGAGCATGGCCGGTTGCCAGTACCGAGTTGCCTATTTCCCACAATCCGCTGCGCACCATGCGTACCTCTGCGCATGCAATTCTTCATGTACCCGATACGCCAAGACCCTAACTGCATCCTGTAGAAGCGCCGAAAAAAAAACCAATCATCGAGTGCAGAACATAGGAAACTGAAACCCCATTCAGAGGGCTTCGAAAAGAGTAAAAACAGAGGGGGGCGGGAGGGGGAAGTATTTAGGCCGTTCACTCAGATCATAAACGTCATGACATGGTGATGAAGCGTGTGCTGTTGCTGTATTAAATATGATTTGTGACGAGCAAGGAAGGTCTGACGAAGAAGACGAGCCTGGGAGTGGAAGGCAAATGGCGAATTCGAGTGGCGTCCCGCTAGCCCGAATCCTGCAGAAAGGAACAGCTCTGACGTGTGGTTGAAGGGTGGGTCAATAATATAGCCGGAGTTGGGAGATGCGGTATGGCGACCCGCAAGCACCAGCGGTTTTTTTTTCTTCCTCCTCGTATCGTCGTCAGTGCTCCAGTGCAAGTCCGGAGGTCGTAAGCTAGTCAGCTGTAGTGAAAAACGCTGGTAAACATAGAGGGGCCGCCGGAACAAAGAGCTATGTATGAGAAGTTACTTGGCAAGCAAGGCCAGCCAATATGCGTTGCCTGAGAGCCTGGCTTAGTAGGCGTAGGAAGGGCGGCTCACGTCGGCCGCTCGTCAGTGCCGAATCAGCCAGTGACGATAAGGTCGCGGATAGGCCTCAATAGGTCGCGTGGCTTTGCACATCATGGTAGTAACCACGGCTGGTCTCCATACCTTGAAATCTGCCACATCCCCCTACTTGCCAACCTCCATTATGTCCCGAGCACTCATTTTTTATTCTGCGATCCGGCAGGGGAAGGGTGCTTTCGAGCTTCGCAGGTATACTGTCGTAGATGGGAGTGGGGTAGTACGAGTAGTCTTGCGGGGCATCCATCATCTTGGAATCTTCATCGTCGACCATGTGCTGATCACCCACAAGACCCTCAACCGGGCCTCCACTCAAGGAGCTGGCCGAACTGACTGAATGGCTGCCCACTGGGCTTGGGTCGAGGGAATATGTATTTCCTCGATACATACTGTTGCCCATGCCCGTTGCTCCTCCCCCTGAAAGGCTGGTACCATAGCCCCCGAACGACGCCCTGCCGCTGGAACCAAGCCCATGATGACCACCACCACACCCAGAACCTGGAGCACCCCTCGATGTACCAGGATTTTGGGGACCTTCATTCTGGTAGTGACTAGGAGATCTTCCCCGAACAACGACTGGACTTGATGAACGGGCCGCAATCTTGACCCATTTCGGGTCAGAGTCCCGTGGATTCTGAATGTTCGCCCACAACTCGATGATGAGATGATAGTATTGTTGTTGGGCCCTTCGTTTGCCATTGTTTGCAGTGGCGTTCTTGAATTGTATTCGCTCGAACGAATGCTGGTAGTTACTACTCGAGTGACTTGTGGGGGCGTACTGCTGTGTGGAGTCCTCATTCTGTAGAGGCAGGGCCGGGCCGGGTGCTGAGGAAGTTTGATGAAAGCTGTTCAGGCCATACCCACCATGGTCGTGACTCTTGCCCGGCGGTGTTGGTGCAAGCAGCTCCTTCTTCATGGTAAGTTGAGGTCCCTTGTCGCGTTTGGGTGTATGCTGTATGAGCTCGATGTTCTTCCCGGCTGCACCGTCTACAGCTGCAGTAAGGGAAACGGCCATGGATTGAATTTGTTCAACTGGTTTACCATTTCCTGGATCATAATACAAACGACCGTTCGGAGTCCATGGTGTGAGCCCGAAGGACACGTTGACCGAGAAGTAATTTCTGCGGTAACAGGTCCACACCTCGTCCCCTGAGTAGAAGAAGCCTTTTTCGACTTTAGCATCAATCGCAGGTGTCACTGTCCCGCCTTCGCAGGTTATTGTCCCGAAGGTCTCTTGGGCGTTAAAAGGGGGTGTTTCGGGCGAGTTCGAATGTTGTCCATAGTTGCCATTCGAGTAGCTGCCATAAGTGGATATTGGCATGCTGGTAGGAAGTACTCTGGGAGTTTCTGGTAACGAGCTGTAGCGAGAAAGATCTGACCGAGGAGAGAGAGCATGTGAATGTCTATGCAAACCAGGCGCGCCTGTGGTATAATTATCCCGGGTCGACACACCACCCATGGACGGTGACACAGAATGACCTAGCCCTGGTGATCTAGCCGGAGGTAACATTGACGACGACGAAACATCGTTTCTATTGTGTAGCTATTAGCTGTCATGTATGATTTCCAGGTTGGACAGGCACCAACGCGCCACAATGGCTACCTACAGTGCGGACATTCGTCGATTTGACGACATGGTTTGATAACCAGTGCTGAAGTTGGAGTAATTTGCTAGGGGATAATGGCTCGAGTAGGAAGGAGCCACACTCGATGGGAAGGTAGCGTAGGAGTAAGCTAGCGCCGACGAAGCGTTGGAGCTGGGCGAGGTGGATATGGAGCCCGAGCCTGAGTCGGAAAGAGCCACGGCAGTCTGGTAACTACAGATGCAAGTCAGTTAACACAGCAAAAAAGATGCTTTCCGGTGAGAATGATGCCAACAACAGTGATGTGTAACCAGGAAGTAGAGTAGCACAGTATAAGTTGTCAACCCTGAGCAGGAGCTGTACGGCATTGCCGCTAGTCTTGTCGTGTGATCAATGTGACAGACCGACCTGTTGGGAGAGCAAGGTGCGCCATGCATACGGAACGTGTACAACAACATAGATGATGAGGGACATTGACGACGTGTTTGTTTCGGTGTAGGCAAGGTCAGGGCTTGGGCAGCACCAGGCGAAGAGGCGTCGAGGAGGGGGGGAGGGGAGGGACTGGGGGCCGCAGGCCCAGGCAACACTACGGAGTGTGCCATGCCAGGCCGGGCAGAGAAGAGCCAATGAGGAGAGATTACTTACGCAGAGTCGGGACGGTGTGTACTGTAGCGGCTCGCAATGGAGCTCAGCGGGAAACCGGTTGCTGCTATGGACCCGTCGCGCCTTAGCTGATCGGGTACGCCAGATGCGAAGGAGTTATGATGTGCATGCCCACCGATATGGTGGTCTATACATTCTTGCTCCGAAGAGAAAGAGTGATCCGCCAAAGAAGGAGGCTGGAGAACTGCTTATCCTGCACGTCAGCCAATCAACCCGGGCCAGACGGTGTCTTGTTGAACAGTATGTGTGACAGAAACGGACAACGTGCACCCGGAGACGATATGGAGGGAATAGGCGCGCGTGGGACGTGGTCGCACAAGTGGCTCCGCAATCGGGCGGCGAAGCAGCATGCAAGAGCGCAATACAAAACGAAGACCAAACAGGTGGGCCCACAGTGTGTAGCAGTACATGGAAAGCCAAAAAAAAACATGTAGGCCGGGACTGTTATGGAGCAATAGAGCAGAAATTGCAGGAGGAATGCTGGTTTTTGTGGAAGAATGCGGAGTAGAGCGCCAGCTTATGGCTACAGTGGCCAGCGCTTACAGCGAGCGAACTGAGGGTTTGTGCTGTCGCAAAACTTGCGTTTTCGGTTGTGTATAAGGCTGACTTACCTGAATTCATCGTTGCTGTAACAGACTCTCGTCTTCTGCAGTTCTACGAACGCTTTTGCAAAGCCTACGACCCTGTCGTCGAGGAGGCGAATCTGACAGTCTGCGCTTCAACACTTTGCGCTGAGAATCCGACAATCTGGATAAGCAGACGATAGTGTTGGCAGTGGCGAGAGGATTCGTGCTGACAGAATCTCGCGGCGGCCGAACTACGTTTACTTTCACCGCAGCTTGACAGTAGGCTTCTGGCAGACAAGCTAGGCTTTCAACCAGATCGTTGCAATGGGTGCTTCTGTAATGATGGTCCACGCACACTCTGGGAGCTGAGAAAGAATGGTGAAGGTCGTGGAGGCTTGTCTAGAAACGTTGTTGGTTCGCTTCAAGGTAATCTGAGCGTTTAGCCGGCACAGGGGCGCGATCCTCGATTAGTTGCCGCTGCGAGCTGCTGATGGCTGCCAATCCGTAGATGCTGATACTCGGCGGCCTTGGAGGGGTGCGGCTGTTGCAGTTCGGCACAGTAATGCGGAATTTATCCAGCAATTTGGCTTCGTGAAGTACGCTTGCTTGCTCTACACCGATGGGACAGCTTTGGAGCCTGTCGCAATGCTGAGTCAATTGAGCTTATGATGGCGGTGTTAGGAATGGATCATGGAGAAGACTGACTGTTTAGGAGTGTGAGAAGCTGCAGGACAATATGGTTTGAGGTCACCTGTTGCGGCTGCGCGGCACCTTAAACCCTGGAGTGAAAAGGGCTCGTCAACTGGGTCGATGGATGCACTTGGCTTCTTCCCGCCGTCTCCACAGATCTCGAATCTCAAGCACAGACAGGTACGGAAAATGACCCGGTCGATCCTTGGGTCTAGCTGCGACGTAGGCGGTGTGGTGGACACTGTTGTCGCTGCGCTACGACCTGTCAGTCTTCCGCATCATAGAACTAGGGAGCATGTCGCAATCAAAGGTGGAGCTTACAGGGTTCTTCTGCAGTTCGCCAGAAAAAAATGATGTGGCGTCGACGGGTTCTCGATCGTGGCTGCGTCGGCGAGGATGCTGACTTGTCGTCGGCTGTTGAGCGATCTGTGTGGAAAGGCCGGGTTCGCGGATTTGGTCAACAGGTACCCTCTGCTGCCTGTGTATTGTCTGCTGCTGGCGCACGGTGAAAGTGATGGCCCCGCACTTTGGGTCGAGCAATAAGATGGAGAGCAAATCGCGCTGCTTGGTGGATTGATGCCTGGACTTGAAACGCGTGGATTTTAGCAGAGTGCAGGACTCGAGCCTATATGCTCCGTGCCCTACTGCTCACTTTGAACCTCTTACACCGTGCTCGTCGTACAGGCCCAGCCAGGGTTAGCTACCCCGTGATCCTGGTCCTCGAGGCTGTCTGGTAGGATACCAAGTTTTCGAGTTCAAGACAATGAAGTAAGAGAGGAGGGTTGAAACGAGTGGGGCTCACGGAAGAGAGATGACGGTGAATGACACGGTATGTGGATAGACACAGGGATAGGAGATGGCGGTCAAATGGCGACGAGCATTGAAGAGGGTGGGCAGTAGAAGTACAGTGGACAGAGGAGAAACGCTATTGCTCGATACAGGGTAGAGTGGGCTGGGGAACTGGTCGGGTTGTTTGGCTGAATGTAGAAGTCCACCAAAGCACGTATAGCTTCATCGCATCATGGCCTTGCTGAATCAAGATTTCAGCCCCCAAAGAGAATAATCCGTATTTGCCCAGCTCAGACCATGACCGTTTTCTAGCACCACGGTAGCATTGGCAAGCTGCAGCAGCGAGCCATTCCCAAACGAGGGTACCCTATATCTCCGAGATGTCAGGGAGGGATGCTTTGCCCCAGTGCCCAGGCTCCCATCCTTTGCGAATGGGTGCTGGTCCACGCTGGGCCTCGCATTCCTTGCACCGGAGTTTGCACTCTGTTGCCCGCGCGGCCGTGGCCCACTGCTTTGGCCGGCATGGATTGGCTAGACAGGCAGAGGCATCACAGTCCCGTGCAGCAATGCAGGAACATTGACCACGACACCACTCTCAAATGGGATTCGAGTCGACACGGCAGGACCGCGACCAGACTGCTGGGCCGTCGATGTTTCATCTCGATCAGCCGCCCAGAATAACCCATGAAGCGAACAGATGATCAGAGTTTGCTCTGGCCACGGCGACGTTGGATTGGCCGTGGGGCCTTTGGGGCGTCCAGTCAGCAGTGGAGCGCAGATGGGGCCAAGAGCAGGCTGAGTGAAGAGCGCCACGGGCCGGCGGCCGCTGGGAAACGACAGCTCGTCCCGTGGCGGCAGAGTGAAGAAGAGGGAAAAGATACGAGAGGGTGAAGGAGAGGGGACGAAGAGAGATTAGGCTCAAAGGCCGTTACCTGTCACAGAAGCGAGCGCGACGACACTACTTTTGGCCTGGTGGCGGTCGTCTGAAGCGACTTGCTGGGCGGAGGGGGGCTTGCCGCGGGAGGGGGAGGTGGGAGGTGGGAGGTGGGAAGGAAAGAAGATGGGACACAGACGCCACGGCCAGCGAGTTGATGCACAGAGGTTGCATCGTCTGGGGATTTGGGAGGGGGAGGAAGTTAGGGCGCCTCACTGGTCACTCGCGGCCTTTCGCTCACTGGCATCCTGCGCCATGAGCCCAGGGCTTTTGCGTTGTCCCCAGCCCACCATGAACCCGACCGCCTGGGAACACTGCGCAATGCTCCGAAAGTAGGCAGAGCCACTCATTCACGGATAGACTGCAGCAGGTCGCATTTGCGCGGCGGAGGCGGCTGCCAGCAGTGAGAGAGAAAGGGCAGTCAGACGTCAAAGGTCAAAGAGGAATGGGATGGGTGAAAAGCGCGGTGAGAGAGGAGAGCGGGGGTGGAGGGGCGAAAGAGCGAGAGAGCATTTCGTTGTGTATCTGTTCGTTTGGTAGTAGTGGTAGTAGTAGTAGTAGTAGTAGAGTAGTAGGTAGCTTGAGTGGTGGTGGTCCTGGTAATGCTGGTGGATGCTGGCTGGTACTGCTAATACTGGTGGGCTGGTTGGTGCTGGTGCTTGCACTGGTGGTGTGGTGTGTTTGGTCCAGTCAAGTGATGAGAAGCGCGAGAGTGTGAACGGTGAGGGTGGAGGCCGCAAGAGAGAAGAGGGGGGGGGGAGGGAAAGAGAGGGGCGAAGTCGCGACTGGCGACCCGCTCGGCGGCTCCTTCCTCCCTTGCGCAGCCCCAAGGCGACCAAAAGGCAGTTAGGTAGCTACCTAGAGTACAGTCCAGCACTCTTGCCTAGAGTAGGTACATACACAGTCATGGTCGACGTCAACGGGGAAGGCGCCAGGCGGCGCAGGGGAGGGGGAGGGGGAGGATTGGGAAGGCGCGCCCCGGTGACGGTGACGTGCAGCTTTCTGCGGTTGTTCTTTCCCCACTCTGGACGCCCCCATTGGGCGCGCTATCCCGTTTTCGCTGCTAGCGCCTGCCCGGGCGGCATCTGCCGTGTCGCCGGCGCCTCCAAAACACCCCAAATGCTTACTCCTCTCTACACAGGACTGTGTACATACATCCCCCATGCCTCGGAGTCATGTCCGACATTCAACATCATAGAGTAAGAAAGGATAAAAAATAGTCTCTCCCTTGCTGCCAGCGACGAGAACCCACGCGGGCAGGGTGACATCTTGGTCCCAGGCCTCAGCGCGCGCGCGTGTGTCTCGCACGTTGCGGCTGGCCACCCTCCCAACGTCTGGGAGTGCCGGGCACTGCTCAGTGCTCACTGGACCTCTTGTCTACCAGCAGTACATTCCTTGCCTCGAGCTTGCCAGCCCGTCAAAGTACCTTGGCCCAATCGTTGGCGTGCAATGGATCCTCTCGCCGTGGGGGACAGAAACCGAGAGAACGAGAGAGCGAGGAAGAGAGAGCAGGCCTCCCGGGCTTGCCGCAGGAATCGACATGAGACTGACCCAAGTACACTTCTTCTACTTCCCAACTGGGCCGGTCATCTGACGCTTCTCCAGAGAGAACGCTGAAAAAGGGCTGTCGCTTAGCTTCCGAGGGCTTCACCGCACTTGTACGTCACGCCCAGTCTCTCCGGCTCTCCCAGTGCGTCTGGCGGCACCCAGGCACAACAGCCCGTTGAACTCTAGACGGGACGGGTGGCGCAGTGGGCATTCAGGACATCTTGACCTCGACAGGACCACTGGTCTCGGGCTCACAGAGTACCCGCCTCTCCTGCAGCGCGTCCGCTGTTGAGGTACAATGGCCTGCAGCCTCCCGCGTGCCCGTGACGGTCAAGATCGGGCTTGGGAGGCAGTGTCAGCATTTCAATAGTCTCATGGCGGCCTGCATCAAATGGGAGCAGGTCTTCGGAAAGAGTAGGATCCATGGCGAGCACCATGTCCAATGTCTCAGCCGGCTCCAAGGAGAAGGAAGGCGACATCCATTGTCTGGTCATAACAGCTGCCCACTACCCGTGGCTTCGTACGACACGTTACACCATCACTGCTTATTTCGGGCGTCCTGGTCGACCGATCGACCGAAGAGGCTGGTATGATGCAGTGGCCTTGCTGGACGAGAAACGTCTGCCAACAGCGGTACGGCCCGTCAGTGAGGAAAGAATCATCCAGAGTAGGCCGGGTGAACATTCCTGCCAGTGATCTCTTGGAAAGTCTCCGATACAGCTCGATCGATAGCGCAAGTCTAATCACGCAGTCTGCATTCAGTTTTTGCAGTCGCAGCTATCGACTAGGGCACGACGCGTTGTGAGGATCTTAGGCTTAATTTCGTAGATCATGGCATGTACCATAAACCATGAGCACTTCAGCCATCTCGCATGTCTAATGACACGTTGATCTTTTGCAACCTCGCTTGCTGGCAATGTCCACACTGACAGGACTACAATTCCACACGTCAATCAATAGCTGCATTCTCGACGCCCGCTATCACCTAGCGTGAAAATGCTGGGCGGACAGGCCTGGAAGATCCCATTGTCTCTGAGATGGCCAGAATCAGTCAACAGTCTTGCTATGGGAAAGTTCAGTATAGGATTCGGCCCTGGGTTCCAGTCGCGGTAGCCAGCCTTGGTGCCCGCGCGACGTGCTGGGTACAACTGACGGACTCGCACAACGGATCTCGTGAAACTGTTGAATGGCCCGTCCCCGCTTAACGGCATGACTGGCTCTTCAAGACGCTGGGTCACGCCGCTGTCACTTTTTTGACTCGATCCCTCGTGTTAGCTGCTTCATTGGGAACACTAATACGCGTTACATTGACGAGCTTACTGCGAGGAAATCTAAACTCGTTTTCCAAAGAGCCTAGCAAGGTTATACACTCAATTTCCTCGGTTCACTCCTCATGGCAACACGCGAGTGCCCAGTCACATTTCAATTCGCTCATCATGGCCTGATGTTGTTTGATGCGCGGCTGAAGAGTGTGGTTCGCTAGTGAAGCGTTGGCGTTAACACGGCGCGGCCGATGCCATCTTGAAAGGTCGAATACACCATAATTTCTTGGTTCGCCAATCGTTGCTGACAAGCGACTGTCGACACTCGCAGCATGGTTGGACGTCCTTCGAAGGATCCCATTGTTCCAACACACGCTGCCCTCCTGATTCACGATGCTGTCAAGAGCTAGTTCATCACATGGGGTCCAAACTCTCGTACGTTGTTACGTCGGTAGTTTGGATTGAGCTCACGGATGCGTTATAGAACTAGAAGTATATCAAAGGATTAGATGGTCTTTTCTGGACTCTGGGACCCGCTACGGAAGCTCCGAACAG